TGAATCCAAGGCTTCTCTTGAGCATCTAAGCAAGTACAAAAACGACTGGACACATTTCTAATCACAACAGTAGAACTCTTTTATTAATCTTGATTAGATTATTTATACATGGAAAAAATTATGATTTATTTTTCAAAACATTACATTTTCCAAACTAACATTATATTTTTATGTGAACAGTCCGATATGCCAATTTCCAGCTTAGTTCGATGGCGTCAGTTTGTAGCCAATTCTGTTTGTCACTGGTTGTGCAGAAATTAAACACTTTGCCATTAAATGCCAGCTGCTTCTACTGAAGTGCATCTCTCTGTGAGAATACAAATTACTCCCACTACAAATTAACCAACTATGCCAACAACCACTGCAAAGAAAGCATAATATAATATATGCACACCTAAAAGGACACACCAGATACTGCTAAAACAGCAATAAAACTAGCCACTAACAAGTCATTCAGATTATTAACCTCTTCACTGTCAGAAAAAAAGCCTCTTATTGTCATCAACACTGCATTTATTTGGTCAAAAAATACAGTAAAAACAGTAATTAGGGGCCAAGCACCGAAGGTGCTTAGGCACCTACTGTATACATTTTCTTCTTCTTCCGCTCTGGAAGTCTACAGCAGTCCATAGAGCCGCTTGCGGGAAAGTTATGAAATTTGGTACACAGATAGAAGACAGTCTCAATTTTAACCATAGCAAATTTGGAGTCGTTAACTCTCTAGTGCCACCAATAGGCCAAATCTGCACTCATATTTCTGCTAATAACTTTTGAAGTGTAAGGTCTGGAAGCAAAATTTATTAGATGGTTTGTCTTATTTTCACAAAAGACAATGCTGGCAAAAAGTTATCAAGAGATTCCTGATAGACCAAACCATTCTCATAAAGTGCGTTAATGAATTTGACAAAATTCGCACAAAAATAGACATTTTTTTCGCAACCCTCTAGAGGATTCTGACCACACTTGGAGCGTGTTATACCAAGCTTGACCTGAGGGCACATGAGTAGTTTCGGCACAGTGCCACCTGGTCAAAGGATATAAAAAAGTTAATATTTGTATGTAGGGATTTCATGAACAGGACACTTTTAATTTGGATTTTCAATATGTATTATTATTTATTTTCTTTCTTTTTTTTTTTACACAACCTCTCACGCGATTTAACATACGTTAGCCAGTTGACACGATTGACGTGAAGTTCGTTAGTATCAATCGTCATGGCAGAGTCAGGGAAGCGTACAGCTAAGCGTAAATACGAAGATGAGCACAGAACATTTTTATCTGAATGGGAGGATTTATATTTTTTTGTTGAAAGAAATGGAAAGCCATTCTGCTTGATATGCCAGACTTCGTTGTCGCATTTTAAGGCTTCAAATCTTGAGCGCCATTTCACCTCACTCCATTATACCGTAGCCCGGGAATTTCCCAAAGGCAGTGAACTTCACAAGCACACGGTAAAGACACTGAAATGTCAGTCAGAAAAGCAAACTCAGCTTTTCCGAAAATTTACCAAGCATTCAGAGAAGGTCACATTAGCGTCATATCAGCTAGCATGGAACATTGCTCGTGCAAAAAAGCCATACCTTGAAGGGGAATTTGTTAAAAAGTGCCTCAGTGATGCTGTTGCTATTTAATCAGGTGAACTTCGGATTTTCAGATCCGAGTCCTATCAAAACCTGAATGAATTAATAATAATTAATTCCCTAACAAATTGAAGTAATGAAGTCATTACATGTATAATTTCTGAACAGTTTGACCATAAGACTGATCTTGTTAGATTTCGGAGTGTCATACCGAATCAAACAATGCCCAATTTTCCTATGTCAGCCATTATGAGCATGGACCATTCCGAATTTTGTAGTAAAATTTTTGCATTTTTGGATTGAAAATGCTGTATATTACAAACATAAAGCGTAGCGTTAGTTCTGGAAGGTCACGTTAGTCAAGCTCTCATCAGCTGACTCTCAGCTGATCCCCATCTACCTATAGGAATACAACAATTATCTAAGCATTCATATATAAGGTCCCTCAGTATTATCAGCAGTTTTTGCATTGCTCAATAGCTAATTACCCTCCTCCATCCCCAGCTCCTCCTCTGTCAGTCAGGATTCAGCCTTCTGAGGCTACGTCCACATGAAGCCAGAGCTTTCCCTATCCGATCTTTTTTTTCCCCTCGTCTCAAGAAATATCTGCATCCACACGAAACCACAAAACCGAATCAAAACGATGTAGTATACATGCCAGACCAGTATGTGGTGCTGTAATTCTGCTACAGAGATACACTAAAAACGGAGAAGAAGACTTAGACAATGCGCATAAACCTTGCGGGCGGTATACAAACGAACATGGAACAATACATTTATTAATCTGTGTTAATATTAGTTAATAAAAAGACTATCGTTCAGTGTTTGTTCATGTTTATTTTGCTGTTACGTGACGTAGCGGTGTCTGACTAGGGGCAAGACGTGGGCTGATGACGTCATCGTTTCAGAAAATATACGGATTCGCTGTCCACACGAAAACGCAAGGGCGGCGTTTTCAGATTTATCCACTCTGGGACCTGGTTTAAAAAAATATCGGTTTCACTCTACCAAAATGCCGGATCCGTGTGGACGAAACGCCTATACGATACAAAATGTATGCGTATACAGCTAATCGCGTCTCCGTGTGGACGGGCCCTGATTCTCCTTTGAATCAGACTAATTCCAGTTTACTTTATTTAGCTATCCTCACTTACATAAATTAACTATAGTGTCCTGCACCCACTAGTAAACAATATAAAAAATTATATCTGGTCTCTGAAATCATTTTTGGTTTCACTGTATATCCTTCGGTTATTTTCACACTTACTAAAATGTGTACATAAAATTATTGAACTTTAACGATATCTGCAATACATTTATGTTGGTTCTGTTCTGTTTACCCTGGGGGGTCATCGCTGCTCTCCCTGCTCTTATCCATGCTATGTTGCATGGATGCACAGGGAGTTCTTGCCCAGAACAGAACCATACCGCCAATCCAAACTGTATGCTAATTGTTAATCATCTTTGACATATTGATAGTGGTCCTGACAGAAATAGCATAATGTTATTGAATCTTATGAATCTTACAGACCCGCTTGCGGGAAATGTGGATGTGGTTTGTATTCTTACAGGACATATACAGGAGTCCATTAGGAGCAAACAAAGATTTTTAGTGGAAGAGTATCTGAAATTATCTCAAGTTTGATTTCTGAACCTAACAGAACTGGACTGCTATAAAGCAGCAGTGGTTTCTCATATTATTTTCACATTAAGGCTCCTAAACACATTGGCATTCAGTCTGTGCATCCAATTACCTAATTTTGAGACTTCGCAGTAAATAAATAATGAGTGCAAAAACAAACAAGTCTTTAGGGGATTGCTGGACCCATGCTAGAAGGCATTTGCAGACTTGAGCAGAAACCCAACAGCGGTGAGACAACCATTACGCTGTGCAGCATAAACGCAAGCCCAGAGGGGCCTCATGGGTGAGGTGCAGACTGTCCAGAGGCCTATAACTTTCTTCTTGTGCACATGCAGGTGGCTAAGAGCAACATTTATATGCAGCATTACCATAGTGAGGCTGGCTTTCTGCATTAATGCACTACTGCTCTGCTCCCTTCCTACTAAAGCCCTGAATATATGAAGAAATTAATAAATAATAGCAGACTCAGCCCTGATTCGTGGGACCCCCTGACGAGCAATGATTATGTTTCCAGACCAGGAGGTGCAGTATTTTCTAAGTGGCTCCGTGCAGTTTGTGGCTGCTGATTAGCACAGATAACTGTGCAACTGAAATAAAAGACATAGGGAAAATTGTTATTTAGCAGAGAATTTCATCTGATTATTTGTAGTACCCTTATTACCGGCACTGCTCTCCTGATGTAATTTGGGCATAAATGCCTCGATCAAGGGCACAAAAGTGATCTCAATAATTCCAGTTTGCTCAGGCTAAGCAGACAAATTTGAGATGTACTGACAATCTCTGATCATGTACTTTACTGGCTTATATATCCAACTATGTCTATATGTCCAGTAGTTGGAAGAACCTGATGAAAACAAAGTATTACATGCCCTAAATTGCAAGAAAACTGAATAATAGGACAAATAGCTTCCAGTCACAGGTGTGTGGGAACAATAGGAAAAAAGGAGGAAAAAAACAGCAGTTGACGCTCTTGTCTAACAGGTGAGTGTAATCAAATGCACCTGATCTAAGTAATAAGCCAGATGCAATTAACAGGAATAATGAGGCATAAAAATGCATAATTGCACATGGTGATGATGGTGGGGGATGGCTCTGTATTTTACCCTTGGGTTCTCTGTTTCGCTCTGGTGAAACTTGGGCATTTATAATTGCATCTGATTCACAAAAAAACAAAAAAACAAAACAAGTTTTCTCATTCGCCTACCTCACAATTTGGAAAAAAACGGATCATTTTTATGAAGATATGGCAAGCTGGCTGTTGACACCAATTTTTAAAAATGAGTGGCAGGGGGCCTCTATGGGATGTAATGATGATTGAAAAGCTTTGATTGGCGATCACAGCTTCGGGACAGTTACGTCCTATGTCCTCTTTCAGAGTGCTGCAGACAATGGGCTGACCTTGAAAAATGCTAAATGTCTATTTAAAGAAGATGCCATTAAAACAAATCCTTTGGCAATACAGATTATAAGAACATATTTCAAGAGTGGAAGATTTTTAATTGCAAGGCTACCATGTGAAGACATCAAAGATTCATAGCCTTGTACACAGTAACTATACCAGAAGAAGAAAGCTGCTTTCACATATTGCAAAGGACAAAAAACAACAACAGTGCTCACTCAGAATAATATGCAAACAACATTTAACTGTTTACATAATTTAATAAAGCATTAAAACCACATAATTAGTTGTCTATATGCAGTTATTCGTTATTAATCCAAAAGCTGTATTTTTGTGAGCCAAAGCTAGATATTATTTAAGGAGAAAGAAATAGACTCACGGTCTCCATAGCAACGGAGAGGTCCCACGGTCAGCTTGGCCTCTGAGCTGGGTCGATTTGTGTCCCCGACAGCCACTTGGCTGACCGGTAAGTGGTCTTTATAAACCAGAAGCCCAGAATCTTCCCTCCTACCAAACAATTTAATTCAGAATACATTGTGAGAAATTTTATTTTTTTTCTGTATCATAGTACTAAACCTTAAGAATCTTAACTCTCCTTGTTGACAAGATCTTATGAAGTCATTAAAGCTTTAATACGCAAAATGTTTGTTTTCTCTCAAAAGCAGCCCTTTGACACTGATGACTAGCTGTTTAATTACAGCAATACAATTTGTTTAATCAGTGGAGAGACTCACTCCATGTATTTTGCGAACTTAATAAACATTAGTGAACGCAGACATACATAAACCTCACAGGTACATGCACTATGTGCGTGTTATTTTAATGCCACCATCTATCACGGTGCCAATGCAGCTGCAAAAGCCATTTAAATAATTATATATCGTAAACCTGTAGAGGAAAAAAAAACACCGTCAAACAATGTGGTTGGGAATGAAACGTGCTGCTTTGAAATCCAATGTCCTAATTTGTATCCATTATGCATGGTGGTTCAGTTTGCTTGGGGTTTATGACAAGTGGCGAGTGCATCGCAATAACCCGCTGTCCATCTGTGCATGGGCCATTAACACATATTACTGTGTTCAGCTAAACCAGCAACAGAAGCAGCAAAATTCTCTCGTTCCAACAGCCTAGCTGTATAAATATTCACAAAATGTATCCAAAACAAGAAGATGACGAGGAAATCCATCAGGAAAATACAAATTCTAATATGCTAATAAGATACAACCTTAAGTTTACCCTATGTTTACCTTAAGAATATAGTATTAAAAGATAATTTCCAAGCTCTTAGCATAATGAAACTTGTGCAAACAAACACAATGTACTTTATACAAACACAAACACAGAGTTACCCAGGGGCACATAAAGTCTGTTTGGTTATTACTTTCCACCAATCCATCCAATACACTTCCTGTGGAGCGCCAATGCTGGCAAATATCTAATAGTCTATAGCTGTTCCAAAACCAAGTGAGCTGCCTTCTAAGGGGCCATTCACACAGAATGTGTTTTTGCAGGGCTGTCGAACCACTGTGTCATGTTAGAGATGCTGCAAACAAAAGTGCATTGGTCAAACACATTTGTCTAGAGCATGTTTACAAAGAAAAACAATGGAAAGGAAACGCAGTGAAATACAAAATAAGGCTGCAATCTAACTCGCACAGACCCTTTTAAGTGATCAATTTGACATGCTTTACATAGGCAACAACTCCACATGCCACAGAAATAGTGCTTGCAAGAGAGAACACAGCTTAATTGATTTCAGTACAGTCTGACATTAGCATGTTGCTAAGCTAATAGTGCAATACTCTGATATGTATAAAAATGTACAGGACAAGTAAACATTGGGCAGAACAATCCATTTTTAATTACACTAAACTATTTTTATCAATACTTTTCAGTATGAATGATTCAGTACTACAGTACATGTGAGCACTAATGGATTAGCTTGTTAGCATGGCCTAGATAATTCCTGCACTAATGTAGAGTTAATGTCTATTTTTTATTTTCCTATTTTTCGGGTGTACTAAAATATATTATATATATATATTTGAGTGTATTTTTTTCTTTTGCTTCTTATTCCATAACTTTCTCATAACTCTTTTTACTTTATCTTACATTACAATAGCCTGGTTTCCATTACAGATTTGCACAAATATTTTCTAAATGTTGATAAGAAAATATTGCGAAAGGATGACCAGTATTTGAAAAATAATGTGTGTTTTGAACATTAAAGCATGTCAGCATATTCTGTTACACCAAATACACAAAATAAAGCATCATATGACCCCTTTAACTGATGTTATGCGACTATTTGAAAGTATCTGGCCAAGTAGGTTGAAATACATGAATATTATTTTACCTTTTCCACCAGCACCACTTTTGCAGAGGTTTCTCTTTTCCAAAAGATTGAAAAATAATGTGTTTTTTGAACATTAAAGCATGTCAACATATTCTGTTACACCAAATACACAAAATAATGATCTTTAAAAAAGCATCATATGACCCCTTTAAGGCCTGTTCATACCAAGGACGATAACTAAAGGTAACGATAAAGATATAGTTCTAAAATCCGTTCTCAATATTGTAGAATAACAGAGTCCACACCACAGCTATAACGATAAAGGCACAGAGAAACGATATCGTTGGAATCACTTTCAGAACAATTTTTTCCCAGCAGACGAATGATAAAAACATTGACAGCCAATCAGAATCAACCCTGATATATCAAGCTCGAGAATTTAAAGCGGCAGACGAGTGAGCATTTAGAATGAACAGACAATATCGTTCGCTGGTGTGGATGCTAATATCTTTATCTTTATAGTTATCCTTCTTGGTGTGAACAGGGCTTTGGAGAGCTTTCCATTTCGAGCATAATATTTGCCACGGCTTCTAGAAGCCCTTCTCCCTCATATCTGCTTCAAGGTCTTGATGACTTGTGGATTTTTTTTGTTGTTGTTTAGAATCCAGTATTAATAATTATTTGATATTTTATGAATTTAATAAAGAACTCTGTCTCATCTTCTGTCCAAACACACTGTGCCATCTTTAAAAAATGTTCAAGTAACTTTACATACACTAGGTGACCTGTAAATAAGAAAAACTGTTTCGATTGCAGTTTTGCAAAATATTCCTCTTTTTCGAATTGCCTGAAAAACCACCTCATGAATTTGTTTTTTTTTGTGATATATGGGATTTTTTTTGCGCAACTTTCATGTTTCTATTAGGCGTATTTTCAATTCGCACTTACGGATAATGGAAATTCAGCTAATGTTTCTTATTAATATTATTTATTTATTGTATTTTTACTGTCATTGTTGGTACTTTGCAGCAAAGATGTTTCTTATTCTGATTCAGATTAGACACACAGTGGGCAAAAACGTGTATTCTGTTTAATTCATTTGACACATTGCTAATGTTTCATTATAGTATAGTAGATGTTTCACTTGTGCCTAATTTTGTTTTGTATGGCTCATTGAAACATGAAATAGATTATTTCCCTTGACTACTTTATTTACATTACAACAGTGTTATTTTAGAATTATTTATCTACTACTATAGCATTTATTAATATTTTGAATTAGCTTTTATTTTTATGGTTAAAGATTTCATTTTAAAGTTTTATTAATTTTATGTGGTTTTGTCTTTTTTATGACATATATAATAGAATAGCTATATAATATTTCTATATAGCTTTAATCCATTTTCATTTCAGTTTTTGTTTTAGAACTTCAACGTTATTTCAGTTAGTTGCCAAGTTTTAATATTTATATACTATATACAAACGGAAGGTGGAGGAGCGCAAGGTCTCTAACATCCACCAGCTCCGTGATGTCATCATGGAGGAGTGGAAGAGGACTCCAGTGGCAACCTGTGAAGCTCTGGTGAACTCCATGCCCAAGAGGGTTAAGGCAGTGCTGGAAAATAATGGTGGCCACACAAAATATTGACACTTTGGGCCCAATTTGGACATTTTCATTTAGGGGTGTGCTCACTTTTGTGGCCAGCGGTTTAGACATTAATGGCTGTGTGTTGAGTTATTTTGAGGGGACAGCAAATTTACACCGTTATACAAGCTGTACACTCACTACTTTACATTGTAGCAAAGTGTCATTTCTTCAGTGTTGTCACATGAAAAGATATAATAAAATATTTACAAAAATGTGAGGGGTGTACTCACTTCTGTGAGATACTGTATATATATATGTAAATATAAAATGTATATAAAATGCCTTTGGGCATTCTTGTGGTGCCATTAGCCAATCAGTTTTGTTGTGATGTTATGATGTTGCAGATGCAGTGTTTACTTGTATCTGAAATTGTACTGCTCAACTGATTGGTTCAAAAAACAACTGTGCACAGATGAAAATGCTGTGATAATGGTAATACTAGCAGACTTTCTCTCTTCTTCTCTTTTCAAATCTAAGATGGAGTTTGTGGTGTTAAGGTGGATTGTTTATCTCTCTGCTCTTTAACAGCTGACTGGCATTACCAGCTACCCATTAGAAAGGATGTAAATGAATGTGTCTCAAAGCAATACACACACACACATGCATTACAGACAATTCTATCAGAGTGTCTGACGAATGACCTCATTCCCCTCTTCTGCAATATCGCCCACAGCTCTCTTTAGTAATAAAGCCACCGAACACACCAGCCTGAGCTTTTGTTGATAGAAATATCAGGGTTGGCTCTACTTAAACTACTTTATCAGCACAATCTGTTTGCCATTTGCACAAGCGCTGAGGTCGAGACAACTGCGTCACGCAGCAGACACTGGTGTTTAATGAATACACAGAGACAATAAGGCAGATGGGAACATGACATGCTTGTCTCTCATAAGTTTGATAGGTGGACTGAGAAGGTCAGTAACTCGCAAATAGCAACTTAGTCCAAAGCTCATAATTATCTACTGGCTTTGATGATTGCCATTGAAACGGCATATTGCTAATCAGATAATGTGTGGCTTACCACTGCTTCTGGTCGGCGTCACAGTTGCAGTAGTATTTGGAGTCGGTGCAGTTGCGCTCAATGCCACATGCACATTTCTGAATGCCCGGCACAGAGCCGCCCCAGTAAAAGTGCTTCTCGTTACCACGGCCGACCCACCATGTGTAAGGCGTCCCATCTGCAAACACATAAAAGACAGGGAAAGCACACCATTTACATTCATTATGTCTTCATTTTAACATATTAAACATAGTAAGTGAAACATTATGTTAATAAGAAGACTATATCTATCTATCTATCTATCTATCTATCTTCCGTCCATCCATCCATTCATCCACCAACCCGTTGTTCTACCATTCTATCATCCATCCATCCATCCATCCATCCATCATTTTAACATTCCATCCATCCTTCCATCGATTTAATGTGTAATCCATCCATCCATCCATCCATAATTTGAATGTTTCATCCATCCATTCATTCACCATTCAATATCATCCATCCATTGTTCCCCATCCAACCATCCATCCATAAATTCCAAATGAATTCCAAGAAATCTTTGTCCATGGATGACTCTTAACATTAGCCAATAACTGCATGTAAGAGAGACTACAGATTAAATAAATAAATAATACCACAAACATGTTTAGATCCAGCATAACCAGCACAGAATTGAATCAGTTTAAATATAAAAGGCTTGCAGTTTCAAAGTTGAGTAAAAAGGATGTAAACATGGTCAAGTAAGCCTTTTGAGTCAAGGACAATTTTGTTTAAATATATCTATTTTGTTCTTAAAAGGCTGCCTTATACATAAATAGCACACACCAAAAAAAGGCAACCATCCTTTTTACAAATCTACCACATTTACATGTATGCATTCGGCAAATCCTTTTATCCAAAGTAAATTTTAAAAAGTTAACCGCAAAGTTATTTTTTTAAACCATTTCATGCATTCCATGGGAATTGAACCTATGACCTTGCCATTGCTAGTGCCATTCTCTCTACTGTTTGAACATCAGCACAGCTACAGAATCCAACACAGAACTGAATCTCTGAACAGCTGTATGACGGCTGCTTATAACCTGCAGACAACAGTAATTACAGTGCTTGAGATTTGAAGAGTACTTTACGGTCTAGCCCACAGATACGAGTACTAATTCCCTCCATGTGTAAAGACACAACACGTTCAAAAGGATTAACACTTGGCTCTTTGGGAGCATGCATGGAGCTCTAGGGGCTGCTGGACTGCCATTCTCAAGCGCTGATGTGCCTGCAAATGCCCACATCTGCATGCACAGAGGGAAGCAAGACAATCCAAACATAGTGTAGAGCTAACAAGTGCACTAGAGGCATACATACACACAAGCTTGTGACTACAGCGCACACACGTATGCATGCGTACACACACGTATGCAGAAACCGAACCACACAAACACACACTGTCTCTCATGGCAGAACAATAGTTTCCCCAATTTACTTCATTAACCTGCAGAGAGATGAATTGCAGATGGATGCTGCAACTGTTTGAAAATCATTGGAACTTCACAATCACTGAGTTGAAACACTATTTCAGCAGATGACACACTGTTGGCTGCTGTCGTCATATATGCAAGAGCCTAATTACTTAAAACAAGCTTGATTCCGCAAGGCAGCTCCAGGGGAAATACGTGTAAAATGTGCTGTGTGATAGAGCTCTGTGCAAATGCTTGATGTGTGACTGCATCCCAAGATTTACATTAAAATAGAAAATGTGCTTTACTGTGGCAGAGTAAATCTAGTCAACGAAATTATTGATGAAAATCTTTGTTGAAAAATGGTTCTAGATTTCACGAAATGGAAAGAGGCACATGCTATTTAAAATTTAATTTATTCCAACTAAAAGATACTGTTGATAAAAATACCAAGAGAAAAAGACATTAACAATACAAAAATGTAGATAGAACTGCTTCAGAAATCAATTGTATAATAATAAATACAAATAACAGAAAGTTAATAACATTCTCTGAAGCTGTAACTTCTGAAAAGTTTACTCAATATTTAGTAAATAATATATGCTATTACTTCAGACTCATGTTGTATCTTGTTTATGCTGTTACATTTTTAATACTATGTTCAGAACATCTCAAAAATGAAAATCTGGTCAAAGTTTGGTCTTTTTGACAGTTTGACATCTTTTCATTGACTAAGGTATTATTTGTTGGCATGAATTATACACCATTTAGGTTTAAGTGTATGCACATGACAAAAAGGAAATATTTTAAAAATAGGATTAAATGTAATTAAAAAAATTTAATGTAAAGGACATTTATTGTAAGACAAAAAATATTTGTTGACAAAGGGTTTTTGGTTTATGTAAAGCAAAAAAGGACACATCATGATGTTGTTTAAATGACTCCAATTAAAACGTACAAAAAAAAAAAAGATATTAATACAAACAAGTACACACAATAGATTCAGAATGTGTTCAAATAAATCACAAAACAATAAGACAAAAAAAAAGTGTTACACAGGCTCTTAAAACTGTCAACTTACTTTTGTTGACTAAAATTATGTAATTTCACTCTAAATGAATATCTATTGCATGAACAAATACTGACAAAATTTTTTGTGTAACAAAAACAAATCAGTGTGGGATAAATCTGTGATACTGATTTACCCCTCGTCTCCACAGATTTCAACGAAACAATCCCAAAATGAGCAAAGGATAAAATGTATCCACAGTTCGAGCAGACAGTCCCATCAGCTCAAAGACTTTCATCTCCACCACACTTAATTAGTAGCAAAGACTCCTGCTATTCCACTATGGAGCCGAGAATAAAGACCAGCACATTTCAGCCTCAGCCGACAGGGCTGACATTTACAGGAGGGACCCACACATGGAGACTGCAGGCAGGAAGCCAACCTCCCCGAGTGACCGAAGAGATGCCAAGCAGCAGCCAGACAGAGAGAACGAGTATGAACGACAAGAAAAATGAACAAACAACAGAAGAAAAAACCCATCATTGCTGTGATGGACAGACATTATGACAGATGGTGAGTGGTCTCTGACACACACCGTATAGCTGGTACTTGTGAAATGCCGTTGAACCGGGAATGCTGGGATTGATGCAGGTGCATAAGAAACATGGGCAAAAGACACATGTGTGCACGCCTTACCTGGCCTTCCGGGGGTCTGTGGTGATTTGCAGTATGAAGTCTATGCCTCATTAAACTCTAGGGCCAATAGAGTTTGCTTCACCAGTGTTATCTGCATGGACTGCTTCCTGTTTCCCTCACCTCAGCTCACACCAGGCTCAATCAATCACTCCATTCACTCTTGGCTGGAAACACAGCCGCCGGGCCAGACTAATTTAACAGGGAGATGGAGCTCTTTTTGTGCTCCTGCTGGGTTCTGAAACTGAGTTGATCATCCATTTGTAACCCAAACTCAATGATCGTTAAACAGGTGTAAACAAGATTGGCAACTCCAGACTCTCAGAAAAGGCTGCAAGCTCAGTAAGTATAAAGATTGCCAGGATCTGATTTACGAACATCCTGTGTCTTGGGCCTCTGTGGAATTCGGCTCCTCGTGTTTCAACTGTTCTTTATCAAATCTTACATTGTCTGATTCGGTCTGATACCCTACAATAGATAGTTTTGAATTTAAGCAAACATAATTAAAACTATGAACTCAATGTGAACCAACAAGTGTATTCCTTAAAGATGGTATCAGTCACTCCTCAGTATGCACTTTTAATATTGTTAAAAAGAGTGGTAACACTTTAGTGTAGAGACCTATTTTCACTATTAACTAGCTGCTTATAAGCATGCCTATTATTAACATATTGGCTGTTTATTAGTACTTATAAAGCACATATTCTACATGACCATATTCTACATCCCTACTCCTACCCAATACCTTAACCTTAATAACTGTTAACAAACAGCAATTTAGTAGTTTACTGAGGCAAAAGTTGAAGCTGATGGTTTGTTAATAGCAAGAATCGGACCTTAAAATAAAGTGTGACCAAAAGGTTTAATATTTATGAATTAGATTATAAACTTATCCTTTTCGTTGGGAGTGCAGTGCACTGACTGGCTCTGATATTTGATTGATTTCGTCGCGTTGCATAGCCATGTCGCGTCTGATGTAGACGGACAAATTGCTTGTTGCGTTTGTGTGATGGGTGTCTGAGGCTGGAATCGAACTTGGGTCAACTGAACTGCCTCTTTTACCACTGAGCTATGGTGAATGACAAATAACAGATGGACCCAAGGATGACTGAACAAAAAGTGCTTTACTGAGGAGTCCAAGTTCAAAAGTACAACAAAAAGGAAGCCGTGCTTCCACAGAAAAAATACAAGAAACAAAAGATGAGCAAAAGGCAAGTCCAAAACCACAACAGACTTAGCTTTCTTGGCGAGGATAACACATGCATAGTAGGCTCAAGACTGAACACAACTGAAAGAAAGAGGCATGCTTAAATAGGCAAACACAAACAAGGTAATGACCCACAGGTGGGAGGAATCAAGTCCTAATGAGTAGTAATACAATGAATTCTACAGAAGCTAGGGCCACCTAGTGGCTGGGAGAGTCATTACACGGCATAAGTGTCAGTGCCAGCTAATGGTTGGGAGAGTCATTACAAGTCAGCACCAACTAGAGGCTGGGAGAGTCATTACAAGCTGGAGCCTTACAGTTTGGTATGGACATGGTGTAATAGTTATTTTTGTAGCCAAGACTTTATGCTGTAACTAACTTTCAAAAACCAACTAACCCTGAGAAAATATTTATTTGTCTAAAAATTGTGACAACTAGTCCCAGCGCCCCCTATATACAGTATGGGTTTACAGTCTATGTTTGATATTCACCTTGATCAAACTGCAGTGAGAATATCCCATATCACTTCCTCCATAACGATAAGCTGGAGGTTAATTTGATTTTTGTGACAAACGAAAGCAAGGAAAAAGAAACTAACCAACAACAACAGCTGTTTAGGGAAAACACTAAAAGAATTGGTCTCGTTTGTGAGATTCGTACTGTATTTGCATGCATATGGCTCCCCAATGAGCCTGATGTGCCTTGAGAGCTGTTTTATAAATGAAACTTCAAATTCTATTTCAACGCCAACATTTCCAACACTTTCTCTCTCTCCCTTTCTTTCTTCCCCCAATCAACAGAATCCTGGCACAAATATT